TCTCGGTCGGGGAAGTGAGCTTTCAAGCAATCCTGCACGGCGGCTTCGGGTTTAGGGTTTAGGGCTTAGGGTTCAAGGTCAGGACGGTCAGGGTGTGTTTTGAAGGCAGCCCCAATCTGAAAGTCAGACATGAGTGCCTACACAACAGGCTTTCGTGTCTACCGGCGCTGCTTGGCGTTAGATTACATGAGAATAAAGACAGCAACTGCAAGAGCATCTAATCATGAAAAGGCACAGAGCAAAATCACCTTCAAAAAGCCACTAATGATGCAGCTACTGGTAGAAACGGAACTGCGAAGATTGCGAGAGCTGCATGTGTAGCTTTTCAAGGTCTGCCATCTCATCCTCATCCCTCACATTTAAGTCTGTCCCTGGAGCCTAAAGCCTTTACACGTAGCTTGACGGCTCATCTTTGTCGGGCTCAGGCTGCTGAGGCTCAGGGATTAGCTTTTTAAAGTGTAGTTACATGGTCTCTTAGTATGGGCCCTTCAAATGGGACCCCTTATCTACCCCTTATATACCCCACAGAAATTCAGGGCCCATACATCAGAACCCTTTAAAGAGGGTGAGGGACCATATTAAGGGCCCGTGAAACTACCCTTAGAGCTTTTGGGGATCGGGTTTAGGGTTTAGGGTTTAGGGTTTAGGGTTTAGGGTTTAGGGTTTAGGGTTTAGGGTTTAGGGTTTAGGAACTTTCAGGCTCGGGGGGTTTTGCATGGTTTGGCCTCAGCAGCGAAGTCGCAGGTAGCCACTGTGCGCTGATTCAAGTTCCGGCCTGCCGTGCTCTACTTGGAGGTTCATGTTACTTATTTACCCCAATTATAGCTGTACACTGTTCATATAATGCAATATTGAGTACCATGAACCTCAAAGTACCCTGATAGCTTCAGAGGTGTTGATTTTCTTATATTTGATTGCTTGCTGTCTTGAACTCTTGGATTGTTGGCTTGCTTACGTGCTTGCTTGCTTGCGTGTGCGTGGCTGGGGTGGGGGGTGGGGGGCGGTGGGGTGGGGGCGGTGGGGTGGGGGGCGTTGGGGTGGGGGTCGGGGGTGGAGGGTGTGAGGGTGGGTGTTCGGGTGCGTGCCTGTGTGCATGTAGGCTTGTACGTGTGCGCGTGTGTGTGTGCCTGCGCGTGTGAGTGTCCTCGTGCGTGCGCATGTCCGTGCGGGTGTGCAGGCGGTGGAAGTTTTGTTTTTGCAGTCATGGTTTGTCGTTCAAGGGTTGGGGTGAAGTTCAGGTGACTGCACTTGCCTAGGGGCAGCTCGTGCAGTGTGGAGGGAGCAGGTGAACAATGTGAACATGAACTCCTCCCTGATAGCCGAAATCCCTGACAATCGTCCGGGTAACCCTAAACCCTGCTAAGGTAAAGGCTTTGGTTTCAGCTAAGGTAAAGGCTTTGGTTTCAGGTCTTATCATGAAACTACCCTTCAAGAATAATGCATACCCCAAACCCATACCCCTTAACCCAGAACAGGAGAATGCAAGGGAGTCTAAGGGAGGATTTTACCCTACCCCTAAATTCTTTTGAGGGTGTGCGCAATTTAATGCTGAATATTTCTTAGACTTATGGGTGCAGGGTGCGGGTGGAAAACCCCTGCACATGGGCTTGTGGGTTGTCGGGCTGGGGACTCTAAGGCCATGCAACAAAATACCCCCAGATGCTCTGCCTGCCGTCTTCTCTTCACACGTGGCCTGAGGGTTTCCTACTTGCTGAGTACCCTGGCCCAAAAAAGGTTAACCTTTCAATTCTTGTAGGATTATATATACCCCAAAAGGTTAAAGGTTACCTACTCAGCCACTAAGGTTTGCTGGCCCCCGGAATATTGTCGAGTTTTCATGAGCTTCTGGGTTTTGCTCTGCGAGTCTCAGGTGGAGGGCTTGCTCTTAGCACCCTAAACCCTAAACCCTAAACCCTAAACCCTAAACCCTAAACCCTAAACCCTAAACCCTAAACCCTACACCCTTTGCATCTCATCCTGCGGGAGCCCGCGGTTCGACATGGTTTGGGTGTGCATCAGCAGTCCTACGGATCCGGCATTTTGGGGTCGCAGTCTGGGATGTTCCCCCTTTACTACTATTTGCTTAAGAACCCCAAAAGAATCAAAAACAACAAAATCCCTATATTACCCTTAATAAGGAAGAACAAAGTCTATTTTTGGGGGGTTCTTAAGCAATTAGTAGTGCTTCTAAGAATCCTTATGTAAAAGGGATTATAGTACCCCCCCCCCCCCTTATATAGTGCCTACTACGGACTGTTAGAATAAGGGGGAACATGCCAATGAAACAGCCTGTTTGTAACGCGTGTGTTTCTTCGTGGGTCTGAAGATGGTGACAAACATCGGCGCCAGCATCTCTCGTGTCGTTGTGAGCGCAGCGTGATATAAGAAAGTCCCCTGTGTCATGCTTTGCGTGGCCGTGTGTCGTGGGTGGCTGGACCACGTGTCGCGTACCTGCATTCGGGCTTGAGTTCCCAGCAGGCCCCGAAACCAAAGAAACCCTAAATCCTAAACCCTAAACCCCAACAGAAGACAATTGAGCCCAACGCATCCTCCCGACGTTTCCACAGCTGGACGGCCTCCTTTGTTCACGATTCGATGGGTCGGCTTGTGTTGGAGGAGAGCCCTATAAGCCCGTAATAACGCTAGATTCCAAACGGAATTTAGAGGGTCCGTCTACAGCTTTGGTGTCTCAGGCCTCGGCAGGGCCTATTCTGAGGTTCGAGTCTGAAGGGGTTCGCAGCTGACCCGCCTAACTCCCAGCTGCACTACATGTTGTACACAGCTATAGAGTGAGTTTCAGATTGACATGAAGCTCTGTTGATTACCCAAGTCCCATCTATGTGTACCTAAACACCATAATCTGCTCGCCTACTCATAACACTTCAAAAACAACCGTTACATAGCATGGCAAGCTAAAGCTGCAAGACCAAGTGGCAGCACTACTCCTCAGAACCGACATGCCTCCGATGACAGCATTAAGCGTAAACGCTAAACCCTAAACTTACCCTAAACCCTAAACCCTACGTCTGCGGAGTTGCCCGGCAATCGCTCCTCGAATTGCCGGAGGGCGTCACTGAATCCGTTTTCCCAGTCAGGACCTTCGTGCACACATGAGAACAGCAGCTGTACAATGGTCATCGCCCATGTATGTTGGGAACCCCGGGCTGGATTTGCGACTGAGGCCGCGATAAAGATGGGGTGACATGTCTTGGAGTTTCCTAACAAGGCCGGCTTCAGTAAAAAAGACTCCTGGGTGTGTTTTGTTGGGACGATCAAGTATATCATGTCTTCGGGGTTTCCCACTTCCGAGACAGAGGCCATCTGTCGGCGCGAGACCGTCATCGTCGCTGGGCATGGCTCCGGTCGACTTATAGCAAGGAAGCGCTAAAAAAACGCAGTGTCCCCTACCCGGCTGGCTGCTCAAAGACCAGGAAAGGGCCACCTGGGAATTCGTGAGGCCGTAGTGAAGCCATGTCTGCAACACCCATGCTCCCGTCGAGCCTGTGAAGTTCTCTTCATACCCCGACAGTAACATCCCCTCCGAGCCGGGGCGCGCACATGCACAAGCTCCGCTGTTGGAAAATCAACTGTCTTGAACCCAATTCAAAAACCGACAAACCCCACCTCTGATCCCCAAAACGCTGTGAAACATGAACCTTCTGCGGTCATCCCTTTCCTTACTGGCCCAAAAACCAAGGAAATAAAAGTTGAAACTTTCAGAATAAACTAACTTATAAGAAGCCCAAAAGTTGAAAAGTTGGGTTTTGAGCCAGTAAGTTTCATGGTCCCTGGTATACGATCGCACCACTTTAAGAAGGAAGAACTGCACGTGGCCCCACGTGGCTTGTCGACTCTGATGTGCATGTCTCAGCTGACACCTCTTCTCACGACCCTAAACCTAACCCTAAACCCTAAACCCTAAACCCTAAACCCTAAACCCTAAACCCTAAACCCTAAGCCCTAAACCCTAAACCCTAAACCCTAAACCTTGCGGGGATGGGCCGAAGGGCTTTAAGTCGGCTTGGGGTTTCTGGAACACCGAGCGTTTAGGGCGGTCAGCAGGCTCAGAGGCTGAAAGGATCTTGAATGGCCTTGGTAGTCCAGTAACCCATCGTGTAATCAGGGTACCCTTTGTTGGTTGATTACTTTAAAAAGGGAACCCAGTAGCCCAGAACCCCCCCCCCCCCCCCCAAAAAAAAAAAAAAGTTGATGGTACCCCTCTGGGCTACCAGGTGTCTTTCGGGGCCAGGATTACCGCGGTTTCAGGGGGCCTTGCGCAGGAAAAGGGGAGGCTGACGAGATATTTGCCAGACTCCCGGGATCCTGGCAGTTCAGGGCCTGTAGGGCTTGCGGATTCTGGGGGCATGTACCCATCCATCAGATTCCTTGCTGGAGCCAACCTACCAAGTCTGTGAGCATGAGCTTCACCCAACTTTTGATGACCCTGAAGCGCTCTCAAAGCCATGGCCTTTGCAGATGCTCGCTGCATAAAGGGTGGAGGCACAGGAGGACTCACCCTGCTCGCCACCTTGCCTGGTCTGCCATTCCCTCCAAAGCGCAAGCGAGGATTGCTTTTTTCGGTTTAGGGTTCAGGGTTCAGGGTTTAGGCTGGAACTGATCTTATGACTTGCATGTTTTGACGGCTTTGCTTCTCTTGACCACTGCGCATGGTCTCAACATGCAGGAGCAGGCTGGCCACGTCACGCGAAAGCCCTTTGGCCCTCTTGCGCAGGGTTCGGGGCTTCGGGTTTTTGGGTTTGGGAGCTGCTCTCTCCCCAGACCCCAGACCGCCTGACCTTAATGCACTCTCTAAGTCTGCATCGGGCACTTTGGGATCTGTCGAGCGTCTGGGTGAGAAGAACCTCTGCCACTGATGCTGCCTTGGCAAAAAGCAAATGCAACGTTGCTACAGGTGCTGCCAAGTGCTGGTCTCGGTAAGTGTTGTCGATACCTTTTGGATTCAGCTTTGGCATCTGCTTCGAGCTGCTGTCTAAGCACGCTCACAGGAACGCCTCGCCGCTGCCTGGCGCAAGCAGAGTGGGGAAGAGTCTTCATGGTGCAGCTACACGACGCGCGGCCATTTTCTGGAAAGAACCTGTGCAGCCCCAAACCCCAAACCCTAAACCCTAAAAAACCCTGAACCCTAAACCCTGAACCCTAAACCCCAAACCCTAAACCCTAAACCCTGAACCCTAAACCTGAATTCAAGGGCACCCAGGGGGCGCACCAGGGGTTGCGAAGTGATCGGGTTCAAGAGGCAATGCGGGGGCTTGGAGCTACCGGCAACATGAAGGTCTCACGTAAATACCTTAGTTGCTGAGTTCATAGGCCCCCAAAAATGTAAAGTGTACTCATTCTCGAAGGGCTTTCCGACATTAGAGGGTAATCTATTGGGGTCCTTGTTAGAAGGCAGTCCTACTATTTTGGCGGGGGACAAGGTTCGGGGTCCCGAGTTTTCGTCATGCCCCCATATGCCCTTTCAAAGAGCTCGAAGCCCCTAAACCCTAAACCCTAAACCCTAAACCCTTCTGAGGGCCTCCCTGGACTGCCCGGTGGACGTCCTCCAGTATCCGTGGGTTGGCCTCTCGTACCAGGGGTGCGAAACATGTCCTTCCGAAGGAACATGGTGCCAAGGGATTTTTGTTAGGGTTCAGGGTTCCAGGGTTCAGGGTTTAGGGTTTAGGGTTCAGGGATCAGAGTTTAGCGGTGTTTAGGGATGTTGAAGGGCTGGGCGATGCTCAGTTGAGGTGGGGTTTGGGATGCTCCCTCGCACATGGCGCTCAAGAACAGTACCTATAGGGTTCGAGTGGGCCGGCCTCGTACATGGCGTTCAGCTGCTGAAGGTTCTTCTCCTCAGCTGGAAGTTTAGGGTTTAGGGTGTAGGGTTTAGGGTGTAGGGTTTAGGGTGTAGGGTTTAGGAAGTGTTCCGGCTTGAAACTGCAGCAACGGCTTGGGGGGGGGGGGGGGGGGGGGCAGGATTCTTGTCGAAAATCAAGGCAGCGTAGGCCCAGACCTTGCCCCCTCTACGACCTGGCGGCATGCGGGCCGCGGGGCAGCAAAGGTTGTGGCTGGGAATTGTGTAGCTCGAAAAAAACTTGCACGTGCCTCGATTCCGAAGAGACCCCTAAACCCTAAACCCTAAACCCAAACCCTGAACCCTAAACCCGCTTCGAGGCTTTGTGTTCCGGAGCCGAGTTGAGAACCTGCGAGTCAGGGCTCACAAAATACAATTGTCGGGTACGAAACTCAGTAATTAGCCTAGAATATGGGAGTCTACGAAGATAATGGACCCCAAATATAGACCGCGAAATAATAGGATAATTTCGGAAACCCCCAAATCCCGCAGCATCGATTGGCAGCTGAGTTGCCATGGTGTCTCGGAGATCCTTCCAAAAGGGTTTCAGAAACCGAGGGTTTCGGAAGCCTTAATCCGCAGCCTACGGACCAAGAGGGAACTACGTGCAACATCTCTCATGCATGCAGCCATCACCTCTCGAGGCAGCCTCCCCTCTTTGAGAGGTTCGGAAGTCTCCAGAAATGATGTTTAGCAATGGGCCTTTTGTCGAAACCCTGCCTCCACAGCTTCAGAAGATTTCAAAGTTTGTCTTCGCTGGGCGGTTGTCGGGATTCTTGTTGGGCTTCGGGGTTCTTGGCTTTGTCCCTGTTCGGTTGGTTTGGGCTGGGATTTTTGCTGAAACTCGGTCATAAGGGAACCCTTCCAACTTGCAGTCTCTGACTTCGTTGCCAGCCCAAACCCTCCGCCCTCTCGGAATGCCAAGTCCTCAGCCGAGAGGTCAACAAGCACCCTGAATGCTTGAAACCCACACTTTGGGATGTTCCCCCTTTAACAATAGGGATTATAGTATGCCCTATTAAAAAATTCCGACTAAGGACTGCTAGTATTTTAGGGGAACATCCCAACGTGGAGCCCTAAAGCCTTAACCCTCTGCTACGCAAGGTTTAGGGATTAAGGGGTTTAGGGTTTAGGGTTTAGGGTTTAGGGTTAGGGTTTAGGGTTTAGGGTTTAGGGTTGCCATGCCCGGCCTGCTGCTCAGTGACACTCGTCTTCTTGCTCTGCAGCATGGCCTGGGTCCCTACTTTGGAGAAGACCCTGGGGTTTAGGGTTTAGGGTTTAGGGTGTAGGGTTCAGGGTTCAGGTTTCAGGGTTTAGGGTTTAGGGTTTAGGGTTGAGGGTAGCTATAGTAGGAGCCCAGGGGTGGGAGTGGACCCAGGAAACCCCGAGCATCCTGCACCCGAACTTCGGGGCTTCAGGGTTCCGGTTTGGGATGTTCCCCGTGATACAAACAGTCCTTAGTAGGGATTGTAGTTAGGGTTTAGGGTTTAGTGTTTAGGGTTTAGGGCAATATTCCCTATCAAGGACTGTTAGGATGAGGAGGAACATCCGAAGTTCCGGTACCCCAAAACAAAAGCCATCGGTGTTCCTCAGCTAACCCTGAACCCTGAACCCTAAACCCTAAACCCTAAACCCTAGCATGCAGAGCGCAAAGTGTTGGGGAACTCGGGGTCTGAGAGCTGGGGGCTCCAAACTGAACATGCCTGAAAGTAGATTCCACAAAGTTGGAGCATGGTTTGAGGACGACTAGTGCTGGGATTCCCTTGAGTCACCCTCTTGGGGTATGAGGAGAAGTAGGTTCCAACTTCTGGGAGTTTTCTGAAGGAGGTTCAGGACGCAGGACTAAAGAGTTCGCAGTTTGTGGTTCCAGACATCCTCGTTTCTTAATCGTTGCTAACAACCGCAACTCCCCTCCCCTTGCCCCCCAACAAAAAAGTGACAGACCTAAACCCTAAACCCTAAACCCTAAAGCCTAAACCCTAAACCCTAAGCCCTGAACCTCAAACCCCGAATCCCGAACTCATCTTCCCGAAGGCGGCTCTCAACGCATCGACTCACGCTGAGGCCGCTTGCGGTGTTTACGGTCTTCTCCCACTCCTTGGGGTGGAGTGTGACCCCATGCTCAAGGGTTCCCCTCACAATTCATACTTAAGCCTAATTCAGGTTAATTATTCAAGGGAGGAACCTAGGGCGGGTAGGGTAGAAGAGAGGGCGGTAGTAGGAGCACCCATGATATGCCTAAGGCTCATAAGCCCTACTCGCCCTACACACCCTCAAGCCTCCAAATGTCTCTCCCCAAGAGCTCCGGGCCATAAATTCATGTACTCAACAGCCGGCAAAAGGTTTTTAGGCAAAAATTCGGCAAAAAGCCCCGGCTAAAACCCGCAAGCCCCACCAAACATGGGCATTTACTGGGATGTTCCCCCTTATACTATCAATCCTTATTGGGATTATAGTACCCCCACACCCTAAACCCTAAACCCTAAACCCTCCTTAACCGCAATCCCTCATAAGGACTGTTAGAAGGGGGAGCATCCCAGGGCATTTATGTCGGGGGGTGTTGACGGCGTCCTAATGCACAGCAGGGATCTCGGATGCTTAAGGGCTTTGTGCCGTTTACGGCACCCTTGTTGGGGTACTAAACCCTAAACCCTAAACCCTAAACCCTAAACCCTACACCCTAAAACCTAAACCCTAAACCCTAAGCCTAAACCCTAAACCCTAAACCCTATGTTTAAGATGATCATTCTTGTGTTTCCTTATTGGGTTTCAGTATTCATCAAAGTGTAACATGATTTTCAACAATGACCCAGGTCAGGGTGTTGGGAGGCTGCGCTGCCTGCGCTGCCTGCGCTGTCCCGTTCCTTTCTACGATTCTCGGGGTTGGCGTTGAGGGAGCTTAGGGTGGGCTTTGTCCACCTTGGTCAACACTATCTCTCAGTGGCTTTCGGGTCCAGGGTTCGAGGCGCACCAACTTCATCAAAGCCATCAAGCCCCAAGACCCTAAACCCTCAAAACCTTCTAACACCTTAAAACCCTAAAGCCCTTCAAACCCAAAAATCCTAAAAAACCCAAACGCTGAAACGAAAAACCCTAACCTCTGTGTGCCTCCAAGGGTCCTTTTTCATGCCTGGCATCTTTTGCATCATGTCCTGCCAAGGGCTGGGTCGAACCGCTGTGTGTGACCCCCCAAACCCTGAAACCCACTTGGGGGGTTTCATTGTAGGGTTTAGGATTTCGGGTTTAGGGCTAGGGTTTAAGGTTTAGGGTTTAGGGTTTGGGAATAAGGGGGCTTCCGAATTAGGGGTACCTTAATGGGGTCCTCATTATCAGGGAATCCTACTATTCAGGGTCGATATTCAGGGTCCCTTATTTTCGTAAACCTCCACTTCGTTGTCTGTACGACAGAAGTCGTGTTGCGGCGACTGCAACGACCAGACGACACCCCAAAAGCTGAAGCGGAACATCATTCGGGCAATTTCAGATTTGGAGCTCGGACAGTCTCAGCCGCGAAATTCAAAGTCTCACCCCCCGATGCCCAGAAACCTCAAACCCTTACTTGGGATGTTCCCGCTTCTACTAACAGTCCTTGATGGGGATTATAATGAGGGGCACTAGAATCCCTATTCAGGACTGTCACCCTCAACCTCGAAACTCCAGACAGCTTTGGGGTTTAGGGTTTAGGGTTTCGGGTCCTGAACCACTGGATGCAGTCTCTTGAAGAGGCTCCTGGTAGCTGTTGGATGACAGCTGTGAGCCCGCGGAAGGTTTCTTGTGCTTTCAAAAGGGTTTCAGGACTTAGGACTCCGGGTCTTCAGGCTTTGAGACGTTTTGGGGTTTAGGGTCTTGTGGTTTATGGGTCCAAGAGTCCTTCGAAACTTCTGGATGTGGGGGCTGCAGCGTTTGCAGTTGCACTGCCGTAAGGACATGCAGGCTCTGCATGTGGCTGCAGGATTCTGATGTCGTAGGGTTCAGGGCTCCTGACTCAAGCAATGAAACGGGTAGAAATGGTGGGTTGTTTGCGACCACCCGGCCCATCCGGGCATAGGGGAATGCAGCCCAAGGGACTCGGTCGTCACACCATCCCACGGGCCTTCGCCGGGAGCATTCTGTGTTTGGGGTTGGGGGGCTGAAATTGCGGTGTCTTGGGGCTTCAGTTGGGTTTGCGTTCAAGTTCCTTTAAGCCTATACGGGCAACGGCTCGAGGACTGTCACCTGTCGCCTGGGACTTCGCGTGTTTGTTACTGTAGAAGGTCAGGCAGGGATTCGAGGATGTGGCGTTGCGGGGCTTCCAGTTTTAAACAGTGATCAAGCAGGTTGCAACGCTGCCTCATGAAAAATGTGAGGGCCTAGCCCTGTTTAGGGTTTAGGGTTTAGGGTTTAGGGTTTAGGGTTTAGGGTTTAGGGTTTAGGTTTTAGGGTTTAGGGTTTAGGGTTTAGGGTTTAGGGAGCCCAGGCACCAAACCCCCGGCCACCCAAAGCCCCCAAGCCCGGCAACCAGCCCGAAACCACCTGAATGAAGGGCGCGTTCCCAGCCCAACCTGTGACGATCCCAGGGGCTTCATTTGTAGTGAATTGTTTTTATAAAAACAATTCACAAGCAGCCAACATCGCCTTTGCTATGCAGGCATTTGGCCATCAGGGGAGGGTTGAACAAGGCTTGATGCCGAAACCGGTACTCGTGAAGCCCCTGTAGCTGAAAAAAGCCTGCTGGCTGTCCGCGGCTTGACAATCCTATCTAGTGAAGTGCCGTGTGTTTTCATCTAGATTGTCGCCATGGCCACTGGCACGGATTTTGGTACTATGCCCCAAAGAGGTCGCGAGTTTCAATCTGCTGCAGAAGTGAGATCGAGATCGAATAATCGAGGTGTCATGGATGAACGTCGTTGCAGTGCTGCAGGTAGGCCTTTATACCAACCACATCCTGATCAGCAACAGCAACATGCTCTGCATCAACTGGTGGCTCGTCAAGTTGCCCTCCTTGAAGAGCAAACCTCTATGCTCAGAAGCCAGATGCAAAATGGCGCATGTGCTTCGCAGTCATTCCAGAATCCTGACCAACTCTTCGAGGTGCTTGATCCGTCTCTTCGGGAAGCAATGTTGAGTTGGCGGGCATCTTTCAAGAAAGATGTTTCGCACTTGGTCACACAAACTGAATTGCGTGAGAAGTACAAGAAGATTGAAGA